ATTACCACTGTTCAACTTAGCAGAAACAGGACATAGTGAGCTGGTTAGAGCCACTTTAGACCGGCTATAATAACAGTTAACAGTCCATGTATTGTATCTCTATTTAACACCAAATGCACAAAAGGTTTTGTCAACTTTTTTTTTTTCTAAAATCCAAACAACCATTAAGAATAAAAAAGTTCACAATTCCCCAAAATTTCCAGTAAAATAATATACTGTTTTTTTTAAACAGACTCTGTTGACATAGCTGAATTGTTACGTTAATATAAAAGAGAAATAAGCTCCCTAAAATTAAAATATGTATATATCTTTGTGTGTGCGTGTTTCTGTTTCATCCTGGCCCACAGCAGTCAACAGTGCGTAATTTTGTCCCATATTTCAGATTAGGGGAAAGTGGCGCCATCTGGTGGACAAACTGAATGAAAATTTAACATTAGATTATGCTAAAATAAAACAAGGATTTTAAAAAATCCATTCTGAACAACATTAAGGCATTGTTCTGATGCATTTTTGGCTAAAGAGGGTCGAATGTGTTTCTTTTTTTCTTCTGGATGAAGGGCTGAATGTCTCTGAAAGATATTTCTATTCAGAAATAGATTAATCAGCATGGATACTTTCTGAAGTTTCCGTCATTTTTCACATTGCGAGTCTCTGGTTAATGAGCTGAGGACTTAAATGTAAGTGTTTAATCATCTTACAGTCTTCAGCTCTTCCTCAGTCACTTCTTCTTTGCCTGAACTTCATATTTTTATTAATCATTGCAGCCATGTTGACTCAGGGGTCTGCAGCTGATCACTAGTTAATCAGAGATGGACCTGGTTCTTCTTTTTCCTCCTCCTGTAGAGCTTGGATATTTTTCACCATCAGCACAAATTCTTAAGATCACCAAGGAAAAAAAAAAAACTCCTTTATTTTCCATTTGGAATATCCTATTGTTGCAGGTCAAATTTACCCAATGTTGTTCACTGCAGAACATTTTTACTGGGAGTGCAGTGGAATGTGACTGAGAGGCTGTGATGGGACGGGGAGGCGGCCATCATGCATCACTGATCTAAAAAAAAACCAAGTCCAACATGTCTGAAGGAGACGCTGTAGCGCAGAGAGCATCAGAGTTCGGCTCATTTTGCATATATTTAAGTTTGATAATCAGTTTCACCTGCTAACGGCTTCCATGTTAACTAAAACCCAAAGCAATAAAACAGTATGAATACTTCAAGATGTCTAATAATCAACAGATGAGGAGGGGGAAAAAAACTCCAGTCAAAAGCTTCAAACTTTAAATAATACAACAGCAAAAGAGGCACATATGGCAGAAAATACACAGCTCCGACGTTACAGTAGAGTTTGTTCATTACACGAGACGAAAGGGAAACGGTACCATGAGAAGAATCATTCTTTGTGCAATCAGAAAGTGACTCAGTCACCGTGAGAGAAGCAAGAAATCACACAAAAAAAAAAACACTAAAAGGAGTTAATCAAATGTAGCTCGTTTGTGCAGGAGTCGTCCAAACATTTATCCCGTGTTTGCAGAGCATGCCGAGGTAAACGCAGATAAGTTAGAAAAAGAAAAAAAAACAACGATAAAGCACACGGAATGAGCAAACATGCACACATTTGTGTGATGACGAGCGGTTGCAGGTTTGTTTGGACGCGGCCACGTAAAAAACCCCAAAAAAAACAGACTAGACCTAGAGACACAAGATGGCTAATTCAGAGCAAAGCAGACGCACGTCATCATCACACCGACTAGTGAGTGACGAGAACCGCTCAAAAAAAAAAAAAAAAAAAAAAAACCCCCCCAACCAAACCAACGAACCCAAAAAAAACCCC